ATTGATTGATTGATTGGTGGGGGATGGGTCGCCCGCCCAACCCCCACTCAATCACACACACACACACACACACACACACACGCTCACTTACTTGCGCCGAACTTCGGCGAGAAAGTGAGTGCGTGTGTGTGTGTGTGTGTGTGTGTGTGTGTGTGTGTGCGTGATTGGGTGGGGGTTGGGGGGGCGACCCATCCCCCACCAATCAATCAATCAATCAAAAGAGAAAAAAAAAAGTAAAAAACAAAAATGGGAAAACCCGCTTTTCTTGTTTTTTGTTTTTACTTTTTTTCTTTTCTTTGGATTGATTGATTGATTGATTGATTGATTGATTGATTGATTGGTGGGGGATGGGTCGCCCCTCCAACCCCCACTCAATCACACACACACACACACACACACACACACACACGCTCACACACACTCACACACACGGTTACTTATGCACCGAAGTTGCGAGGAGGTAGGCCCCCCCCCCCGACTCGAGACCCGTTCCCCGCCCCCCACCCCCCCTCCCTGATTCGCGGCGGCATCCGCCGAAAGTTCTCGGCCGGCCCGGCCGTGGCCGGGGGAGTCCCGGCCTAGGCCGCCGACCGCGGCCTGGGCCGAACCAGGCTACGGCCACCGTGCAACATAACTCCCAACCATTCCCTACAAATATTAGTGATTGCTCTCTTCACATTCGCTGCCTGTTGGTACAAATCCAGTTGGGCCTTCAAGGAAAGCCATCTGCGTGTCACGTCTAACTGGACCTGCTGCTTGACTTGCTCAGTGATCTTTGTGCCCTCCACAAATACCCGTTCCAAGGCCAGGAGGCACCGTTGCCACCATAATGCCCACCACAACGCTCACCTCCCCAGCATGTACATGTTGTCCGCGAAGGCCGTCGCCTCCTGCGTTGGCCAATGGCCTGCCAAGATCGCCTGCCAAGACCAGGGCCAGGGGCTTTTCACCCCCATTTTTCTCCATACCCGGTCGCACCATCTCCAAGTGAAGTGTGCGATCGGGCACTGTGTAATAACCTGACCGAACATGGATTGTGACACACAGCTGATTTCTGAGTTTTGCTCATGGACTGAATGCCTTGCTGAGTTTCCCGCTTGTTACTGAGTTCTCTAAGTCTGTGTCTGTACACGCTTGCTGGTCTGCATGTCTGTCTGAGTGCTTGTCAGCTTGAGTGTGTGTGTGACCCGCAAGGTCACTTGTTTGTTCAGTGGGCCCGAAGGGCAGGTACTTACCTGTGGCCGTGACATTGAGGATTGCAACGGGGGAAAGCACTCAAGTGGCGGGGAAAGAGGCCCACGACACTTAAAGCAGTGGAAAACACTCAAGTAACGGGTAGGCCGATACCACAGCAGGTAGAGGTAGATGTGCCGTGTACTCGAGGCCGACCAGGTTTTTGTGTGTTACTTTTTATTTTATTTTATTTTACCAGTTTGTTATGTTTTCCTTTTCCATAAATTCTAAGAAGATATTTCGCACTGTGTTGTTTGTACGTTCTTGATGAATGCCAAAATTGCGGAGCGTTGTCGAGCGCACGGTCCCCTTAGTGAGAGGGGACCTTCTCGGCCGCGTCACGCAGGATTCGGCAAGACTTTAGTCGTGGAGCGTTGCCGCTCCGGCCGAGTGCGCCAGCCATACCTCTCGCGAACCCCTACGGCAGGATAGGGTTACGCGAGGTACAACTTACCTCCACCTGCGGGAGCTGTCACCATCCCTTAGGTGGGCGTATCCCCGCCGAGCTACCAGTCCACAATACGAAAGTTTTTACATGCAATCGTAGAGGTGGACCAGCCGAGGGCGTTTTCTCGTACGCTGTAGCATAGGGGGTACGTGCGGTTCCACGCCTTTATCGGACCTGTACGCAAGCCGACGCACTGGGGGGCTGAAGTCCCAAGCGCGACTCGTCGTCGGTCGACTAGGACGCATCGTTCTTACCACACGTTACACCACGCCAGAACAAAGGTTAGATCAATCTCACAAAACAAAAGCACTCTTAGTCCCTTTACTATCCAACCCATAACCTTCTCATACGGAAATCGGTTAAGTATTGCGTGCGTGTCTTAATATAAAACGGCGCGGATGCAAGGCTTTCTCATATTGACTAGCCATGCAAGCGTTCGCAAGCAGTCACTATAATGGCGTACTATGTAGTACCCATAATCGCGTGGTCCTCGATGGTCTCGAGGGTCGTGTTCGACTCTCAAGTGTCAGCTGACACGTGCCTTGAGGGGTTAATCTCTTGACGTTAGACAACCGCCAAGGAGGTTGAGAACCACACCCTCTTCTGCACCCTGTGGAGAGTGGGTGGTATAGAGGTTCCGGCCTGTGGTGGCAGTCATCCCTTATGGCCATGGAGACAAGCTCCATCATCCAGGGCCTGGAGAGAAGTCAAGGGGTTTGACTTTGAGGGCTGCCACAAACATCAACGTCCAACTATAAAAATTAACAAACAAAATCACTGAGTAAATAAACAGGCATCTCAACACCCATATTTATTCAAAACTCGAGATAAATAAAAGAGGGGAAAATAAACCCATCAGATATGCAGATCGCGCGACACATGGTTGTCATTCTCATTGCCTCCAAAGTAAAACTCGCATACCAAGCTCCAAAATATTAACCTGCATAAAACACAAATACATACGAAAGCCACATTGCCATGCACCAATGTGGTCAACTTTATTGTTCCCTGTGACTCACACCACACCTCACACACTCAAATCCCAACCATTGTCCAACTTTTCATAAAAACCCATCAGTTCTTTATAATGGTCATTAAAAAAAGTTTGGTTAAAACCCTTAAAGAAAAATATGAAATCTCAGGGCTAAGGCAATCAAGTTGAGGTACAGGTGTAAGCAAAGTTCTGTCGTGAGCCGAAGAGTCGACGATCAATCAACCGACCTGTTATCAAAGATAACAAAAGACGATCCTCGTAGGACCGAGCTGAACTAGTCAGATCTTGAATCAAGAACGACCGAGAAGGACTTGTGATACAACGCAGGCCAAATCCCAAATACTTGAACTTTAAGCGTACGGAGAATAAATGCCCATATCACATTTTACTCAAAATCTCGTAAGACTAGATCTTAAATCTATCTCTCCAATATACCTCAAAGAATAAAAGTGGACCCGCCGCAACTACGGTGCGGCAGAGGAGAGGGACGAAGAGGGAGGTGGGACCGTTGTTGTTACACTGCCGTTTTTTTTTTTTTTTTTTTTTTTT